ATGCATTTTAGCCATGCCTCATTTCGCTCTATTTGCTCTTTTCCAGCCCTGTCTTCAAAAGGGCTGATTCTGTGGCAAATGAGCTGCAGCTGACCACGCCCCCTGCAAAGGAGGGGGGCGAGGCACGAGCGTCATGTTACCATGTTGTTACCATGTTGTTACCATGCTGTTACCATGCTGTTACCATGCTGTTACCATGCTGTTACCATGCTGTTACCATGCCACGCAACCTCTCATTCCCCTGATAGGTGGAGAGTTGCCCATATAGGCGGAGCACCCCGTTTCTGACGTCAGAACAATTTCAAATCTGTATCAGTCTGTATCAGATCCGTTGCAGCCCCTTTTTAAGAGATTTGGGTATGGAGGAAAAGAGAGAGGGTTGTGTTTCCTGACACTTGGTGAGTTCCCTGACACACCGGGGACACATATTCATGTGTAAAAGACGTACAAAAGTGCATTTTGCATGATAGGTCCCCTTTAAACAGCGGATTGGTGTGGTGACCGACAGGTGCAAACGCGCTACAACAGCCCAAAACAATTCCATTAGGAGAAACGTGCTGCACTTTTGAAAACGATGTGTATATATAAAAATGCAAATGTATTTCATTTCAATGTGAAACATCTTCACCAACTTCACAACACATGAGCAGTGTTTAGTAAAAGTGTAGCATCCAAAAAACGCTGCAAATAAAAAAAGAAGAAGCTCAAAACAGAACAGAAGCGGGTACACTTAAAAGTGATGCACACAGCTGGGACCGGATCGTTGTTGACGTTTGGGAAAAATAAAGTTGGTCAACTATAACTGTCACTGGAAACTTACCTAAAATGTTTAATTGGTTTATTTTGTCAATGTGATCGCTTGATCCCTTCCAATATATATTTGCAGATCTGCTCTAAGCTAGCGAGCTATCCTAGCTAACCTAGCTAACCTAGTCATCACAAATATTCTGAAAATAACTTGAATTTTAAATCAGAATAACTCTGCCAACAGTTGGCCAACTTTATAATCCCTGAACGTCAACAGGCCTTCCCAGCTATGTGTATCACTTTTTATAGTCCCCATTTCCATTGTGTTTATGTAGCGCTTTTAGTTAACGCTGCCTATGTTTTGTCAATTTTGTGAAGATGGGTCTTCATTTTAATGTGGTTTGGCACATGTGTGTTTTTTTATCTCCATCGTTATTGAACTGCAGTGCGAGTTTCAAAATTGAGTTAATTATAGGGAATTCTCTTGGGACAGATAATGCATTTATACCGATTGCATTAACACGTTCTGCTTTTATGTTAGCTATCATTCTCTCCCCCCAAAAAAAGGGGGGAACAGTGCTTATAAAACACCGTCCATTATAAGGTGTTGTTTATTGACCATTCGCTGATTCATGGTAAAGGCATAATTGATTAAAGTGCTGATAGAAATAATTGTTATTATTTATCAGGTTTCCATTGATGAAAATCAATACATGTAATAATGAATCCTAAAGCTTTAATGCTGTGATATGGCTGTTTGGAAACCAATTACACATTTCTATAGAAGATGATTTGCTTTTCTAATCCTTTTGGAGAATAAGTGAATGATGAAAGCTTCAGGCTTAGAACGCAGCATTTCTTCAACACTGTAACGGTTCGGACTGTGCTTGATGCCAGAAATATGTTTATATTTAAAACATGTAAGATTATATGTTTGAACAGTAATGTTTTTGACTCTTGGTTTGTTTTCCAGATTTTGTGAACAGAGAATAAAGACAAAGCTTAACAGTGAAGGTAAGAAAACAAGCGTACTGTCTAAATTCAGATAAAACTCTCCCATGTCTAATTTCTTGTCAAAATACTCTATTTTCAGTTCGATTAACCCACATTTTAAGACAACAAGGAATTAAAATGGCTTTGATGCTTATTATGTCTTCAAAGAAATTTAAAGATCATCCATACCAAAGCTGGACGTGGTTTTAACGTGATGCGGTGGTCATGTTAAGCTGGACCTTCTCCGTCATCGAGCTAATCACTGCCTGGGGGCACCAGAGGAAGCATTTATGTACACTGGACAGCCAGTGGATAGCAGCGATATCAATGACAGACAGGCCTCGCAACGGCTGCTTGTTCTTCTGGGCTCCTTATCTCGGCCGCACCGGGGACCTTGTCTATGTACACAATTCATCCATCACTATCAGACCCCACACAGGATCAGGGCCAGCATTCACACTTTTACGCGGAGCTAAAGCTAATGACAGCTCACAATGGGGAGGGAGATGAATTTGGTGTGATCAAAGAAGTGCTGTGGGTATTATTATCAAAGACATTTAGGTATTTCCTTAGCATGTCAAAGTCAAAACGTATTAGTTTTGTATAATGCCTTACCTTGGTGGATCATAACAAATGGTGAAGTCATTCATCTGTAGATGCTCCCGTTCAACATGAGACCATATTATTTTATGAATGGAGTTTTTGAGCCATGACAAAGGTGAAAATGTGTGCTTAAACAGAATACATAATGGCATGTTTTTAGCCTACCCAATTGCAGATAATGGGTTATGCTACTGAAGCCCCTACTGGGCCTTTAAAGGCCCGGACACACCAAGCTGACACCAAAGAACTGACACAGACGGACCCCCGACTTCAGACTTTAGCCAACGGCCAAGAAGCACGTACGAAATTTGCATGCGTGAGTGGCAATAACTCTACTTACCAGCAGGCGGCGGTAGTGTGTATTCGTCATTCAAAAGAGGCAACAACCGGAAGACAGACTGCGTGATACACCAAGAGAAGAAGAACAGACTGCGTGATACAAACAACAAATAACGTGTGCGTTCCATTTTCACTCTACAACGAGAAGCTCATGGGGCTTTGGCGTTAAATTAAATCTCAGATTTGCCTTCTTAATAGTTTGTTTGGGTCCCTCACTTCCGTTTCGCTTCTCATGCACTGATTCGCTAGCTGAACAGCCAATCAGAGTGATTTATTTTGCCGACAGCCTTTGGCCGACTGGGTTTTCGGCCGAAAAGGTGTAGGCACAGCTGAAAAGACACGACGGTGCGGGACACACCAATCTGAGTAGGGCATGTCGACGCTCATCGTCGGCCTGACGCCCATCGACGGCCAAAATCGGCTTGGTGTGTCCGGGCCTTAAGAGAAGGGTGGAGTCAGCATTCAATTAAAGAATATTATAGTCAATAAAGTTGGTTTAAGATTAATGACCACAGGGGGTCCTTGAGCATAGAAGCGTAAATGTGCATACATATATTAGGCCGATGGCTTGAGTTGTATACTTGAGAGCATCCCAACCAGGGACTTTACTTCTACGTAATGGCCACGCCCCTTTCCGGATGAAAATAAATTATGTCATTGACTGCCAGTAAATACAAATTGAAGGGTCTTCACCAGTCAGATTTAAGAAATTAGGAATACTTGCATTTTTGTATTACAAGGTGCACAAATACAACAGTTAGTCGGGCAATCAATTCCACAATTTAATTTACGATTGATGATCGGCGATGATATATGATGAAATCAGACGCAATAGGTGAACGATGTCCTGTCAGGCAGCAGGCAACACCTAAACTGGGATTTTCTTGGTTTGTCTGTGTTTTATATTTCAATGCAGCATCTACATTCACTATTTTGACTTTTAAGATAACAGATGTTTACTAGTATTGACATCAACCTCATTAGCTTCATAATTTAGCTGTGGTGAAGTGTTTCCCACAGACGGACCCACTGTAAATGCTCTTCGTCCTCTCTTTGGGTGTCCTGAAGCTACAGATATTTTCTTTTATCGTCTTTTTTTCTTAGTGAAAGCAAAGATAATCGTACCTTTGGATTTGTTGTTGTTTGACATGCAATACACGACACAGCAGCTTTCAAGCATGATTCAGCTATTATTTTCCACCTGCCGCATATTCTTTGTTTTCACTGGAAATGGGGGGTCAACATTTTGTTAGGCAGTGACGTAGCGCTGCTCTCATCCCTGCCAGATAAGCTGCTGACAGTCATTGATTTCCCTACAGGCTTACGTTTGGTAGAGATAACAATCAATTGCTTCCAAGCCACACAAGCTGCATGGCTTAAGATTCAGATGGTCAGTTCCAAACTTTAATCTTGACAAAGATACCATAACAATAATTGAAAGAATTACCATGACATGCTATCCATACATTCATAGTCCCCAGAGGATGAATCCTATTGATGTTGGTGATCAACTCTTGGGCCAACTGCGAGTCTACTTTATCTACTCCATGGATTTAAAAATATTTGACTGGCGTTGCTGGCTCTGAGCCAATGTATCCTAATGGCTTTGATTATCCCCCTGACTTTTTTTCTAACTTCATCTCCATTCCCAAACATCACCATTTTAACTGAACACTCGATATGTTTGTACTCACAGAGAGACCCCTGAGACCTTAGAACAGGTCTTGTTTTCCATCCTCAATATCTACCGCATGACTCATATTAACCTCCCGTCTGCAGACCTAGGCTGACTTCACACTCCATACATTCATACCCAGCTCTCTCTATGTTCTTACTGTCATTCAAAATAAGTATAAAATCTCATTGAAAACAAAAAAAGGCTTGTTGTTCTCCACGGGTGCTTCTTTTAGAAACTTTCAGGGAAAAACATCTGATTCGATTAGGATATTGTTTCCCTGACCTTGGCTGCAGGTTGGCGTCGAGGTTGTGAGTTTTATGGACACCTTAGACGTAGAAATTCCGGCTCAACCTCACTGTGGATAATGCGTATTTTTTAGAGCCCCATTAGCTCAATGAAGATAAAAGCGGTGGCGTAGGCATCGCCTCCTACGTCAGCACGGGTCACGGGTTGTCCGGGGTTTGTGCGTGACAGAACGGGGGAATCCACCCCTCTCTCTTACCCTCCTCTATGGTGATGTGAATGGTGATACACAGGGGAAGGGAGGGGGGGGGGGGGGGGGGGGAGAACTGGAGGGTTGAGCCAGGAGGGAAGGGGTGTGCCATTATAAGAAGCCTCAGAGGAGGCATGCGATCAGTTGTTGAAACCCTTAGCCTGAGGATACGAGCTGAGCCACTCAAACTCTCCTGTTGAAGCACAGAAAGAGGACTGAGAGATCTTTACGTCACAGAAACAGGTAAGGAAGTGCTCAACGGTGACTTTTTTGTATATGAGTGTGAGCTTATCTGTGTGTGACTTAAAAAAGAGTTAATTAGGTAAGGACTTGTTGTGTCTTCAATGCAGGAACCGTGGCTAATAGATCCTTTGGGGATTTTGTTTTTAAAGGGCAACCACTGTTGTGTTTCTCTCCCGTTTTCGTTTCTTCTTTCCAGCTTTGTAATCTTGGATTTTGACCTCGGAGGTGACGCTGTAAATAACCCTACTCACCTGCAGTCATTTTTTTTTCCATTACTCTGATTGTCTCCCTGCGGCTCTGAAGGCACCATAGTCACAGTCAGCAGTACCCACAACGCACCTGATAATTACTCAATTAACAAGAGAGAAAGTCCCGGATCATGCTGAGCACGCAGTTAAAGGTGTACCTGATTTTAGTCTAATAGAATACAGTATACATATATGAAATCGACCAACAATCCAAAAAGTATTATAAAATGAAGTTTAATGACACTGAAAAAGCTGGATTTTGGAATCGTTCCTCAAATTCTCACTAATATTTCAGCTTAATTCATCAAGCCCTTTTTATGAATTTTGGAGTATTGTCAGATTAAATACATCACACAAACGCTTCAAAGAAGATTGAAAAGCCATTTTATAGGTTTACAGGTGTCAACCTCAAACAATTGGGGGAAAAAGTAGTGAACGCTGTTAATATGCTAAGCATGGTAATAATGATTTTAATGATCAAGGAAATTAATGTGCATAATCTTTTTTTCCATTATCAGTAAAGACTATACTGGCGCAGATGGAGGAGGGGGGGGGGGGCTGTTGGGTGGTTAATGTGCCATTTACAGATAGATGACTTCACACAGGGGAAATGTTGGATGAAACATGTTTACAGGAAGCAGTCAAATACAGTATTTTATAAATCTAATACACTAATTATAATAATGGATTTTACTACAGAAAGTGGCATGATTGGCTGATTTAGTTTCTTTGTTTTTTAAATGTTAGAAACCCAACAGAAATCTAAATATTTGTATCCCACAACAGGCCGCTTGATATATGCATTTCCATACAATATTATAGATTTTATATTTCTTAATAATCTAAAATCAGTTTCACTTAATTCAATCATACATCACATTTTTGGCAGATTTCCTTTGCAATTTATTTATTTCGTCTTGTGCCAGTACATTATGACATGAGCATCTCTCTCTTATCAGTTAATACGAATTCAGTTAATAAGATTACCGCTGCCTGTGCTGAGATTAAACTAAAAACGGAGTACAGGATTTGTTGCCCTGTGTCAATATTCATTAAGGCCGCTTGCAAATCCTCTTTGTGATAACATGATGAATCACAGCAAAGTTACCAGATATTCCACACAAGTATCTTTGCATTTGTATCCAGCTTCACCTTGATAAAAGTGGCGAGCATGTCCAGCTTTCCAAGATTGCTTTCCCCCTACCGGGTGCATGTCCAATGGATTAGTGCAGGTGTCAACGCAGCTTAACAGTGACCAGATCAATGATGATGACACCATGTCAGCTGCCTCACACTCTGCAGAATTTCAGCTATTCACTTCTGGTGGGAAGCAACACTGCAGGAGTCCGTCATAAAGGGCGCAATGTCCCCTTTGTGTTAAAACCTTAAAAGTCAAGAGCTGATTTTTGATAATATGACATTTCTTTCCGGTTTTCAGAATGCATTCTAGAGGGGTTCGCTTGATTTTAGTATTAAAAACGTCTTCTTTTGTCAGTGCATGCAACTCTTTTTCCGGGTCTCATATCAAAATACTTCCAGCATCCACCATTTTTCTTTTAACCCACAGACCCCATCACATCTAATCCTGCATCAGCTTCTGTGACAGTTTATCAGCATCGAAGGCGATGTGTCTGTCTAACTCAGTGGGCTATCATGCAAGTTGCACAGGGAGAAGATTATTTTGCAGCCATTAAGACAGCTTCATGGGGCTTATACATGAGATAATTGTTGGTATGCGTCCCTCTATGAGGGCAGATCAGATGCTGGGAAATGATCTACCCTCAGGTGCTAAAACGTTCCCAATTAAAAGAAACCCTGCGAGTACAAATGATGGAAACAATAGTAATCATATGCTCAATTGATCTGATATGATGGGAATTTGGATATAAAGCGCATCATATCTCCACTTTGTATCGGTGCAAATGTGCATGTGAGATGCGGGATATGGGGAGGAATCAAATGCGTTTTATGATATTTCCACTCAATTTGTGCGCTCTGCAGTCTACATGAGATAGGATGTCCTAAAGTATAGCAAGATAAAGGCACATAGTTATCAAAACGTGTGATTTTTCCACCAGATATGATAATGATAATAAGAATTTGTGCGATAAAATAACTCATTTACACAATCTTATTTTTAAGCTTCAATTTAGCTGCAAATCATCATGAACTCAGTGCCCTTTACTCATGACTTCTTTCCCCTTATGCTGCTCATAATCTTTGTAATGCTGCTTCTAGGTGACAATAACTAGATTAACAGATAGATAACAGGTTCAATCATAAAACCTGGTGCAGCCGTGGCAGACGCCTCCAAATTGGATTAAACGCATTCTCTCAGATGAGTCATTTCAGGATCCTCAGGTCCTGAGTGGAAGGGCACAACTCACCTTCTCCTGCTCCTCTAAAGTCTGTGAGTCACACACTGTTTATCTGTGGCTGTGCAGGAGGCTGTGTGTGTGAGAGATCGTCATCCTCAAACTGAAGGGTTTTTTCGAAAAGAGTAACGTGTTATCAGTGTTTCGACAGGACAACAGGGGTCATGCTTGGTGTGGATTTCTGTGGTGATGCATGGTTCTTGTGGTTTTCTGCTGGGTTGTTTTTTAGCTTTGAGCTTAGGGAGGAATTAAGGGAGTGTAAGGAACACTGCTGGTAAGGTGTGTGTGTGTGTGTGTGTGTGTGTGTGTGTGTGTGTGTGTGTGTGTGTGTGTGTGTGTGTGTGTGTGTGTGTGTGTGTGTGTGTGTGTGTGTGTGTGTGTGTGTGTGTGTGTGTGTGTGTGTGTGTGTGTGTGTGTGTGTGTGTGTGTGTGTGTGTGGTGATTAAAATACATTTAAAATGTAATCAGAATCAGAAATATCTTTACCCCGGGGGAAATTGGTTTGCGTGATTAAAATAATTGAATAAAACTATGTATATAATCATAAGAAAGTAGAATGTAGAATGTCCAATAAAATATTTTATAAAATAGAATACAAAATATTTGTATAAACACAAGAAGCTAACATAAGAATGTGCAAAAAAAGTATTTAAAAAAGAATAGAAAAAAACCAATATAAGAAGTTAAATGAAAGTTCCATTGAAAGATAAAATAAAATAAAATACATTATGAATATTTAAATGAACATGATAAACGAATTTAAGAATGTGCAATACAAATATAAAACTATTTACCTAAGGAGTTCAGATACAAATGTGCTCCTTGTACTACGATCTATTGCTGTATTAGCATTAATAAGATATTCATTCAGATTTTTTTCGTTTCCTTTGCAATTATACAGTTTTGTCTTTTTACAGCAATATTGAGTGTAGTTGAAAACTGAAGTAGTTTTCCGGTTTCCTACAGCCCTGAAAAACCTTCACTAATAAGATGATGTAGCCTAAATAACGCCTGAGAGGCAAAGCCAAGGGCAGGAAAACATTGGAAAGCACTCAAAGAACATTGCACTAAGTGCACAGTAACTGAAGGTGACTCAGATAAGTGTTCCAAAATTATTATCACCTCGAAGATGTTCCGAGAGGTTTTTATTTGAGAATCGTCACAATACTATAAAGGTAAGGGGAACATGTTCTCCTTGTACCGACTATTACCCCCTCGGTCATTTATATCCCAGCGTGTAAACCATTCATTTTGGGAGGCAGAGTAACCAAAAACTAATCTGAAAATAATTCAATTAGGGTGGGCCTTTTAAATGAGTTTATAGAGTGCAGTGTAATTGCAGGCAATCAGTGACCTAAGAGCGATACAGTTTCTCATGTCAAGAGGCTCGCCTGATGACTCACCACATATTGAGAACTCAGGAGCCTGGTTTAAAGGAAATAACTCATTTAAGATTAACCTAACCCTTTGTAATTTTGATCTGACCAATAAATGCATTAAAATGGGGAGTAGAATATTCTATATATTTTTTTTCGAATCCATTGAAACGCTTAACAACTGGGGGTCACAGGGCACTTTAATGAAAGGTACCTCCCTTCTTACCTTTTGGGGTTCAAGCCGTAATTGTCAGAAAAGTTACCCATCGTTGAGTTTAAAAAACAAAACAAATGGTGGGTTCCCTGCTGAAATCTGAATGAAACTAAATGTTTCCGTGCACTGGTGCCCCTGTGTGTAGCTGGTGCCCCTTTTTGTTGGCCCTTTGTCCTCAGAAATCCTCAGTCTGCCACTACGCAAAACCTACATTCAGGATTTTGTTCAACCAAAAACACAAGTTAACTTTTCTTATTGACTCTTATTGGTATCTACCCATGCATACAGTATAGTCTTTTTATTTGGCCAGGCTCAGAGACATTCACGTCAGAGATGACTGAACCCCAATAAAATGCAGGTGAAGGTAATTTGGTTTGTGGTGCTTAACGTCCTCCTACCAACTGGGTTCTGTACGTCTTTTCAATCAATATGTTCCTCATGATTCTTATATTAGGTTTTTCTATCTCTTTTTTATTTAGTTCTTTTAAAAAATAACAATTTGTACAATATGTGTAAGGGTCTTAGGGTACCTCATTCAAAATCCCCCAATTGTTGCCAATACAGTTTTAATAGATGAAATATGATAGTTAAATGTTTGCCATGGGTCCTAGTTTGAAGTATCACACACTATAGTGTAGTATCTGTAGTGGGGAGCGAGCTGAAGCAGTCACACAGATTTCATCATGGGCTCTGTCTTTTTTCCTTTTATACAAACAATGCAAATACTTTCCTAAATAATAATCATCGTTTTTTTTCTTCAGGTGACATTAATTACAACAATGATAAT